TGTGACGTAGACCAGGAAGTACGTCAACGCGTTTCGCCCCTCCCACAGGGCGTTTTTTTTTCTCTGCAATATTGAGGATTTCATGGAGGAATAAAGTGGAGGCGATTTATCCCCATTAGAAATAAATATACAGAAATCCCCCTGCGCTCCACAGAACCTAGTGAGTTAGCTGCTATCACCTAATTCTCTATACCGCAAGATATGTAAAACAAAAATAATATAAGTGGTGAAGCGCTCAACTTAAATAATCAAAAACTAGTGCAATATCCCCATATATAAATATCACATCCCTAGTGGTATAATGATACCCAAATGATAACTCTTAAGCTATGCAGATATACAAATAATAATAATATAAATAATAATGAATGAAAAAACTAGTGCAATATCTTCATATATACATATATATATCCCTGGTGATATAGTGATAAACAACTAATATCTCTTAGACTGTGCAAAAGTGATACTAAAATACAATTAATAATACCAATTTACATGAAATATTAATTACAATAAATTAAATAGTGACGCCACACTGTGCAAAATTATAGAAAAGTGTTCAAATAATGTCACTCCATGCTACAATAGTGCTCTTCGTGAAAATCTTGACGTGACTCCCCTCAATAGCAGAAATGCCCCCTCACCTTCCACATTCGACCCTTGCGGGTCACAGAGCTTTTTATATATATATATCTCTGCCAGATATTAATCTCCTCCACCGACCTTGATCCTCCTCCAGGCAGTAAGTAACACTCCAATAACTCCCCTCATACAACGAATTCAAGCATCAGGGCAGGCCAGAGAGCTTCCTTCGTGTCCCAGGAGAGCTTGCTTGCACCTAGTCTGCTGCAGTCAATTAAAGCTGCCTGGACAAAGAGCCTCAGCTGCGCTCGGCATTGAGATGATTCATCCACTAAGATTTAGCTCCTGTTTTTATTTTGTTTTTTAATTCGTTCTCCCCTTCCTCTTTTTTTTTTTTTGTTATTTTATCATTTGGCCATTCTGGAAACAAAGGATAACCTCGTCTATCCTTTGTTATCCTTTGTTTCCAGAATGGCCAAATGATAAAATAACAAAAAAAAAAAAGAGGAAGGGGGAGAACGAATTAAAAAACAAAAGCAAAAAAACAAAATAAAAACAGGAGCTAATCTTATTGCAGGCCATAGATGGGGAGAAAAACGGCAGATTTTCGGCCGATTAACGAACTATCGGTCGGTCTAAAAAAACTTACCTGACCACCAATTATTACGAAAATCGGCCGATTAATGAGTAACCTATAACGGGAAATGATGTCATTTTGTGGCCTTTGTGATCCTTTTTCTGAAAACGATCGTTCGTTTTTGACCATCAATGAGGATAAAGTCGGGCGTTTTTTTTCGAAAAATCTTTCCAACATCACCGATAATCTGAAAGTCCAAAATACACGAAAAACGGCCGACAAAATCGTCCACTAACGAGAAGATAATCGGCCGGTTTTATTTTCGGACGAAAAAATCGGCCGTTTTTCTCCCCATCTATGGCCTGCATTAGTGGATGAATCCTCTCAATGCCGAGCGCAGCTGAGGCTCTTTGTCCAGGCAGCTTTAATTGACTGCAGCAGACTAGGTGCAAGCAAGCTCTCCTGGGACACGAAGGAAGCTCTCTGGCCTGCCCTGATGCTTGAATTCGTTGTATGAGGGGAGTTATTGGAGTGTTACTTACTGCCTGGAGGAGGATCAAGGTCGGTGGAGGAGATTAATATCTGGCAGAGATATATATATATAAAAAGCTCTGTGACCCGCAAGGGTCGAATGTGGAAGGTGAGGGGGCATTTCTGCTATTGAGGGGAGTCACGTCAAGATTTTCACGAAGAGCACTATTGTAGCATGGAGTGACATTATTTGAACACTTTTTTATAATTTTGCACAGTGTGGCATCACTATTTAATTTATTGTAATTAATATTTCATGTAAATTGGTATTATTAATTGTATTTTAGTATCACTTTTGCACAGTCTAAGAGATATTAGTTGTTTATCACTATATCACCAGGGATATATTATGTATATATGAAGATATTGCACTAGTTTTTCATTCATTATTATTTATATTATTATTATTTGTATATCTGCATAGCTTAAGAGTTATCATTTGGGTATCATTATACCACTAGGGATGTGATATTTATATATGGGGATATTGCACTAGTTTTTGATTATTTAAGTTGAGCGCTTCACCACTTATATTTTTGATTTATCCCCATTAATGGTGAATAAGACGTTGGATCTTCCCTAGAGGGCTCAGGATCCGTATATCCTATGGGGCTCATTACTCGCCTGCGTCTGGTGAGGGCGGATGATAGTATTTTGCACGCGGTGGAAGGTGGCAGAATATGTGGAATAAATTATACACTGAAATTCAATGAAAAATAAGGACATTTTTTTTCACTTGGACATTTGATTTTGGATTTATGCTCTTAAATATATTTATTTGGAGATCTTGAGCTGTTATTTTGACATCATAGTCGAGTTTGATGTGACCGTGGGGGGGTAAATCCACAGCTCAGCCACCCTGATTTTGACGCCCTCCCCCCTGACCTCCTGTGTCAGTCTCCAGACACAACAGGAAGTGAGAGAAAATCTAATCCTGGTGTCCCCAACGCCACATTCCCATCACATCCTCCTCCTGGTGACAACACATTGGTTTGGATTTTCAGTCTCCATGACAGAGATCACCGGGGGGGGGGGGCACAGGAGAGCACATTGGCTGCACTTCCAGGGGTGTTCTACGGGGTCAGCCACATTTCCGGGGGGGGGAGGGGATCTGGTAATGGTGAGGTAGGTCGCACAGTGACCATCCCCGGGAACAGTCGGTAGGTCCCCCTCCGGTACTCACCGTCCATCTTCCACTCTTCCTCCTCTGGCCTCACCAACACTTCCGGGTTCTGACTCCAAATCTCGCGAGAGGACACCGCTGGAGGGGGCGGGGCCCGGCCGTCATATGACTCGTCCTGCAAGTCACGTGAGTGTCCTGAGCTGGGCGCCAGGCGGGTTTGTATTGTGTGGGGGTGTGAGTGGAAATGCTGCTGCTTTCCTGGCTGTGTTGTTACCCCCCCCCCCCTCTATCAATGCCATTGGCTGGAGGAATCAGAGGGACGGGGGAGCCAGGAAAATGGCATTATCGGGAGGGGGACTCCCTGTATTTCCAGCTGCAGCCGTCTGCTCTGCATTGTATGGAGGGGAATGGGCCCCACAGCGCCCCCAACTGGCTGCACAGCCTACACGCCCCTCAGTACCCCCCTAGACTCCCATAGTGCCCCCCCTAGGCCCCCTCAATACCCCCCAACCTCCACCATAGTGCCCCCAACCCCCCCCCCCCCCCCCAGTGCCCTATAGGCACCCACAGTAACCCCCCCCCCCCGTGCCCTGTAGGCACAGTAACTATAGGCACCCACAGTAACCCCCAACCTCCACCATAATGCCCCCAACATCCTCCCCAGTGCCCTCCTGGCCCCCATAGTGCTCCGAACACCCCCCCCCCCCATGCCCCTTAGGCCCCCTCAATACCCCCCAACCTCCACCATAGTGCCCCCAACATCCCCCCGTGCCCTCCTGGCCCCCATAGTGCCCCCAACATCCCCCCAGTGCCCCCTAGGCCCCCTCAATACTCACCCAACCTCCACAATAGTGCCCCCAACCTTCTCAGTGCCCTCCAGGCCCCCATAGTGCCCCCTCCCTCAGTGCCCTCTGGGCCCCCATAGTACCTCCTAGGCTCCCTCAATACCCCCCTAACCTCCACCATAGTGGCCCCAACTCCCCCCCCAGTGCCCTCCTTGCCCCCATAGTAACCCCCCCCCCCTCAGTGCCCTCCAGCCCTCCCATAGTGTCCCCCGAACCCCTTTCAATGCGCTCCCAAAACCCCTTAATACTCTCCAGCCCCCCCCCATAGTGCCTCCTAGGCCCCCTCAATACCCCCCAACCTTCACCATAGTGCCCCCCAGTGCCCTCCAGACCCCCATAGTGCACCCAACACCGCCCCATGTCCTCCAGGCCCCCAGAGTGCTCTCAACTCCCCCCTGTGCCCTCCAGGCCCCCATAGTGCTCCCAACACCCCCCCCAGTGCCCTCAAGGCCCCATATTGCCACCAATGCCTCCCCCAGTGCCCTCCAGACCCCCATAGCGCACCCAACACCCCCCCCCCATGTCCTCCAGGCACCCATAGTGCTCCCAACACCCCCCCCCCGTGCCCTCCAGGCCCCCATAGTGCCCCCAACCCCTCCCCAGTGTGATCCAGTATGACCTGGCTAGAATACAGATCAGGGGTCACCCCCGGTAGTCGGGGGGTCAGTTATTTGGGGTATAACCGTCATGATCCTCCATGACCTGGCTACAGTACAGATCAGGGGTCGCCCCTAGTAGTTGGGGGTCAGTTAGTTGGGGATCCACCATGACCTGTCTACAATACAGATCAGGGGTACACCCCCGAGTCAGGGGGTCCAACATGATCCCCATGACCCGTCTACAATACAGATCAGGGGTCGCCCCCGGTCAGGGGGTCAGTTAGTTGGGGTCATGATCCGACATGATACCACCCCCTATAGACCCACCATGTCTACAATACAGATCAGGGGTCGCCCCCGGTAGTCCGGGTCAGTTAGTTGGGGTATAACCGACATGATCCACCATGCCCCCGTCTACAATTGGGGTATAACCGACAGATCAGGGGTCGCCCCCGGTAGTCCGGGTCAGTTAGTTGGGGTATAACCGACATGATCCACCATGACCCGTCTACAATACAGATCAGGGGTCGCCCCTAGTAGTTGGGGGTCAGTTAGTTGGGGATCCACCATGACCTGTCTACAATACAGATCAGGGGTCGCCCCCGGTAGTCCGGGTCAGTTAGTTGGGGTATAACCGACATGATCCACCATGACCCGTCTACAATACATTGCAGGATCCGCTGTGACCGTTCTGTTATGGACCATTAGAGGGCGCTGAGACTGGGAGCCCATAGCCCTGCGCAATGACCGACGCCTCCGCAGATCCCGACCCGGAGCTGGAGCAAATCCGCCTGAAGAGCGCCCGAGAGGAGAAGTTCATCCCGGTTCCGGAGAGGGATAGGGTGAGTCCGGCTGGGCTGTGATCAGAACCCCGCATTCAGCCAGCGGGGGGGGGGGCGACGAGGATATACTGAGCATTGTGTATCTATGATCTTCTCAAGGCTGCGTTCACTGGGGGTGCGCCAATATATCGCCGGCCGAAATGCATCGCCTGAGCACAGTGCCGTCCGCATTCTGCCAATAGGAGAAAAAGCGGCCAATGACCGCCGAAAGCGTGATTTTGCTGCATTTTTGTTACAAATTCTTTTTGGCCAACTTTAGGCGACTTTCACACGAGGAGTTTTTCAAGTGTTTCTGTGTTGAAAAAAACGCCTGAAAAGCAGCAGAAATCTGTGTTGCTGAATGTACATCTCGGTGTTTTCACGCTGAGCCGGTAAGATGTAAAAACTCCCACTTGCAGCATCTTTGAGGCTTGTTTAGGGAGTTAAAAAAAAAAACGCCTCTTCCCATTGAAATGGATGGTAACCGCCTTAAAAATGCTCCAAAAATGCTTCACAAACACACCGCAGATGTTGGAAGGTCTGTAAAGTCACATGTCCAGGATGTTTAGGTTGAAAAACACCTAAAAAACGCTCCAAAAAGGCTAATCATTTTTCAAGCGTTTTTTGAGGCGAACCAGTGTGAACGCAGCCTTACTGTCCTTCAGACTTTAGGGAGGCCAGACTGTGACCTTTGAGAGTAGAAAAAGGTTCCGATGTCAGTGGAGCAAAAACAATGCCCCATCATTGGTGTCAGTGGGAGGAATAGTGCCCCATCACTGATGTCAGTGGGAGGAAGAGTGCCCCATCATTGGTGTCAGTGGGAGGAAGAGTGCCCCGTCATTGGTGTCAGTGGGAGGAAGAGTGCCCCGTCATTGGTGTCAGTGGGAGGAAGAGTGCCCCGTCATTGGTGTCAGTGGGGAGGAAGAGTGCCCCGGAGTGGGAGGAAGAGTGCCCCGTCATTGGTGTCAGTGGGAGGAAGAGTGCCCCGTCATTGGTGTCAGTGGGAGGAAGAGTGCCCCGTCATTGGTGTCAGTGGGAGGAAGAGTGCCCCGTCATTGGTGTCAGTGGGAGGAAGAGTGCCCCGTCATTGGTGTCAGTGGGAGGAAGAGTGCCCCGTCATTGGTGTCAGTGGGAGGAAGAGAGTGCCCCGTCATTGGTGTCAGTGGGAGGAAGAGAGTGCCCCGTCATTGGTGTCAGTGGGAGGAAGAGTGCCCCGTCATTGGTGTCAGTGGGAGGAAGAGTGCCCCGTCATTGGTGTCAGTGGGAGGAAGAGTGCCCCGTCATTGGTGTCAGTGGGAGGAAGAGTGCCCCGTCATTGGTGTCAGTGGGAGGAAGAGTGCCCCGTCATTGGTGTCAGTGGGAGGAAGAGTGCCCCGTCATTGGTGTCAGTGGGAGGAAGAGTGCCCCGTCATTGGTGTCAGTGGGAGGAAGAGTGCCCCGTCATTGGTGTCAGTGGGAGGAAGAGTGCCCCGTCATTGGTGTCAGTGGGAGGAAGAGTGCCCCGTCATTGGTGTCAGTGGGAGGAAGAGTGCCCGTCATTGGTGTCAGTGGGAGGAAGAGTGCCCCGTCATTGGTGTCAGTGGGAGAAAGAGTGCCCCGTCATTGGTGTCAGTGGGAGGAAGAGTGCCCCGTCATTGGTGTCAGTGTGGAGGAAGAGTGCCCCGTCATTGGTGTCAGTGGGAGGAAGAGTGCCCCGTCATTGGTGTCAGTGGGAGGAAGAGTGCCCCGTCATTGGTGTCAGTGGGAGGAAGAGTGCCCCGTCATTGGTGTCAGTGGGAGTGCCCCGAAGGGAGAGTGCCCCGTTCATTGTGTCAGTGGGAGGAAGAGTGCCCCGTCATTGGTGTCAGTGGGAGGAAGAGTGCCCCGTCATTGGTGTCAGTGGGGGAAGAGTGCCCCGTCATTGGTGTCAGTGGGGGGAAGAGTGCCCCGTCATTGGTGTCAGTGGGGGAAGAGTGCCCCGTCATTGGTGTCAGTGGGGGAAGAGTGCCCCGTCATTGGTGTCAGTGGGGGGAAGAGTGCCCCGTCATTGGTGTCAGTGGGGGGAAGAGTGCCCCGTCATTGGTGTCAGTGGGGGGAAGAGTGCCCCGTCATTGGTGTCAGTGGGGGAAGAGTGCCCCGTCATTGGTGTCAGTGGGGGGAAGAGTGCCCCGTCATTGGTGTCAGTGGGGGGAAGAGTGCCCCGTCATTGGTGTCAGTGGGGGGAAGAGTGCCCCGTCATTGGTGTCAGTGGGGGGAAGAGTGCCCCGTCATTGGTGTCAGTGGGGGGAAGAGTGCCCCGTCATTGGTGTCAGTGGGGGGGAAGAGTGCCCCGTCATTGGTGTCAGTGGGGGGGAAGAGTGCCCCGTCATTGGTGTCAGTGGGGGGGAAGAGTGCCCCGTCATTGGTGTCAGTGGGGGGGGTAAGAGTGCCCCGTCATTGGTGTCAGTGGGGGGGGAAGAGTGCCCCGTCATTGGTGTCAGTGGGGGGGGGGAAGAGTGCCCCGTCATTGGTGTCAGTGGGGGGAAAGAGTGCCCCGTCATTGGTGTCAGTGGGGGGAATAGTGCCCCGTCATTGGTGTCAGTGGGGGGAATAGTGCCCCGTCATTGGTGTCAGTGGGGGGAATAGTGCCCCGTCATTGGTGTCAGTGGGGGGGGAATAGTGCCCCGTCATTGGTGTCAGTGGGGGGAATAGTGCCCCGTCATTGGTGTCAGTGGGGGGGAATAGTGCCCCGTCATTGGTGTCAGTGGGGGGGAATAGTGCCCCGTCATTGGTGTCAGTGGGGGGGAATAGTGCCCCGTCATTGGTGTCAGTGGGGGGAATAGTGCCCCGTCATTGGTGTGTCAGTGGGGGGGAATAGTGCCCCGTCATTGGTGTCAGTGGGGGGGAATAGTGCCCCGTCATTGGTGTCAGTGGGGGGGAATAGTGCCCCGTCATTGGTGTCAGTGGGGGGGAATAGTGCCCCGTCATTGGTGTCAGTGGGGGGGAATAGTGCCCCGTCATTGGTGTCAGTGGGGGGGAATAGTGCCCCGTCATTGGTGTCAGTGGGGGGAATAGTGCCCCGTCATTGGTGTCAGTGGGGGGAAATAGTGCCCCGTCATTGGTGTCAGTGGGGGGGAATAGTGCCCCGTCATTGGTGTCAGTGGGGGGGGGAATAGTGCCCCGTCATTGGTGTCAGTGGGGGGAATAGTGCCCCGTCATTGGTGTCAGTGGGGGGGAATAGTGCCCCGTCATTGGTGTCAGTGGGGGGGAATAGTGCCCCGTCATTGGTGTCAGTGGGGGGGAATAGTGCCCCGTCATTGGTGTCAGTGGGGGGGAATAGTGCCCCGTCATTGGTGTCAGTGGGGGGGAATAGTGCCCCATTGTTGATATCAGTGGATGAAGCAGGGCCCCAAGGGCCAGGTAAAAGCAAGCAAAGGGCCGCAGTTTGGAGATCACTGGCTTTTGCAAAAAATATATATATAGTAAAAAGGAACATGGATATCCAGGAAAAAAAGTGCATTTATTTATTTATTTGTTGGTTTTTTTTTTTTTGCACGATCCTGCAAAGCTTTGCAACAGAAATTGTCGGTTTGTGAACATTTGTGGTGGTCCCACGGCTGCGATTTCAGGTGCAATTTGTGAATTGAAGTCCCATCTAATGAATGTGAATGTCGGCGTCTTCACGTGCGATTTGCTGCGGCGCCATTTCTAAAGTAGTTCCTGCGTGACTGTTTTTCCTGCAGTTTTGTTGCGATTCCGCATCCATAGCATAGAAAGGAAATCGCAAGAAAGTTTAATAAAGTCTTCAGAAATGGCTCAGAAATGGCGGCGGTGTCACTGGGGACTCGGCGCAGAGCATCCTTTCACATGAGAACAATTGTAGTTTCCGCTGCATTAGGTGGATATTTCTTTTGTCTTTCCAGCTCGGCCGATGCAGAAGTGTGAAAGAGTTCGAAAAGTTGAATCGAATTGGGGAAGGGACTTATGGCATTGTGTGTGAGTATGGGGGGGAGGGGGGTTAGGGGGGTTTCTGGGGGAGGGTGGATGGCTGCAGAGAGTGGGGAGGGGGAGAGAGGGGGGGAGGAGGATGGCTGCAGAGGGGGGGAGAGGGGAGGATGGCTGCAGAGGGGGGGAGAGGGGAGGATGGCTGCAGAGGGGGGGAGAGGGGAGGATGGCTGCAGAGGGTGGGAGGGGGGGGGAGAAGTGAGGGGAAAAGCGGCTGTCATCAGGGACAGGAAGTGAGGGGAAAGCGGCTGTCATCAGGGACAGGAAGTGAGGGGGAAAGCGGCTGTCATCAGGGACAGGAAGTGAGGGGAAAGCGGCTGTCATCAGGGACAGGAAGTGAGGGGAAAGCGGCTGTCATCAGGGACAGGAAGTGAGGGGAAAGCGGCTGTCATCAGGGACAGGAAGTGAGGGGAAAAAGCAGCTGTCATCAGGGACAGGGGAAAGCGGCTGTCATCAGGGACAGGAAGTGAGGGGAAAGCTGCGGTCATCAGGGTCAGGAAGTGAGGGGAAAGCTGCGGTCATCAGGGTCAGGAAGTGAGGGGAAAGCTGCTGTCCTTGGGACAGGAAGTTAAAGCCACTGTCATCGGGACAGGAAGTGGGGGAAAAGCCGCTGTCATCGGGACAGGAAGTGGGGGAAAGCCGCTGTCATCGGGACAGGAAGTGGGGGAAAGCCGCTGTCATCGGGACAGGACAGGAAGTGAGGGGAAGTGAGGGGAGGCCGCTGTCATCGGGACAGGAAGGGTTGGGTCCGTCTTGTGATCCAGGCGTGAATTGTTCCTAGAATCCATCTTTCAGTGCCTGCAGAGTAGTTTTTTTACCCTTTTCACCTGCTGGGGTCCCTTCTTCTCCTCCTTCTTCTAGATCGTGCCAGGGACACCGGCAGCAATGAGATTGTGGCATTGAAGAAAGTGAGGATGGATAAAGAGAAGGACGGTGAGTTTGCTGCATTCCAGACCTTGATTGATATACAGTCACCTCAGCCTGACATCCCACCGAGGAAACACGGACCCTTGTAGTGAGCACAGCCCCCATCCCCCACTGCATGGATGAACTGCTTGTTAAGGCTCCATTCACAGGACCGCGTCCCCAGCGGGACTTTGGAGCGACTTTACATTCACTGGAATAAAATCGCATCAAAAGTCGCACCATAGTAGTGCGAGAACCACTTCACTTGGAGTAACAGATTTGAATGGTACTCATGGGGAAACATGGGGTGCGACTTGTGTGACTTTGGAGCCAAGGAAGGCAAAGTATGGGGGGGGGTAAGAGAGAACTGTACAGGGGGGCCACGAAGGGAATAGTACAGGGGGGGGGGCAGGAGTTCACAGTATGGGGAGGCAGGAGGGAACCATACAGGAGGGCCAAGAATTGAATAGCAGGGGAGGGGGCAGGAGGGAACAGTATGGGGGGGCAGCAGGGAACCATACAGGGGGGCCAAGAATTGAATAGCACAGGAGGGAACAGTACAGGGGGGCCAAGAATTGAATAGCACAGGAGGGGGCAGGAGGGAACAGTACAGGGGGGCCAAGAATTGAATAGTACGGGGGGGAGGGAACAGTAGAACAGTATAGGGGAGCCAGGAAAGGAATTAGTATGGGGGGACAGGAAAGGAATAGTATGGGGGGCAGGAGGTGTTTGTTATGTGAACAGTATTGAGGGGGCAGGAGGGAACAGTACAGGGGGTTCAGGAAAAGAATAGTATGGGGGGGGGGGCAGGATTGTGAACAGTATGGGGGGGGCAGGAGTGAACAGTATGGCGGGGCAGGAGAGGAATAGTACTGGGGGGCGGGGGAGTGAACAGTATTGGGGGGGGGGGGGGGGCAGGGGCAGGAGGGAACAGTACAGGGGGGGCAGGAAAAGAATAATACAGGGGGGGCAGGATTATGTGAACAGTATGGGGGGGGGGGGGCAGGCAGGATGTGAACAGTATGGGGGGGGCAGGAGTGAACAGTATGGGTGGGGGGGGGGGGCAGGAGTGGGGGCAGGACTCTGTGAACAGTATGGGGGGGGATCCAGGAGGGAGCAGTGGAGGAGGATCCAGGAGGGAACAGTGGAGGGGAAGCCCAGGAGGGAACAGTGGAACAGCGGAGGGGGGGACCCCGGAGGGAACAGCGGAGGGGGGACCCCGGAGGGAAACAGCGGAGGGGGGACCCCGGAGCTGGGAACAGCGGAGGGGGGACCCCGGAGCGGAACAGCGGAGGGGGGGACCCCGGGAGTGAACAGTATGGGGGGGGGCCCGGGATGTGAACAGTATGGGGGGACCCGGGAGGGAACAGTGGAGGGGGGGCCTGGGATGGGAACAGTACAGGGGGGGGCAGGAGTTCACAGTATGGGGGGGGGGGCAGGATGGGAACAGTAGAATAATATAGGGGAGCCAGGAAGGAACAGTATGGGGGTGGCAGGAAAGGAATAGTATGGGGGGGGGGGGAAGGAAAGGAATAGTACGGGGGGGCAGGAGTGAACAGTATTGGGGGGGGGGAGAGAACAGGAGGGGAGCCAGGAAAAGAATAGTACGGGGGGGCAGGGGGGGAAAGCAGGAGGGAACAGTAGAAGGAGCCAGGAAAAGAATAGTATGGGGGGGGGGGGAAGGAAGGAAAGGAATAGTACGGGGGGCAGGATATGTGAACAGTATTGGGGGGGGGCAGGAGAGAACAGTAGGGGGGAGCCAGGAAAAGAATAGTACGGGGGGGCAGGGGGGGAAAGCAGGAGGGAACAGTAGAAGGGAGCCAGGAAAAGAATAGTACGGGGGGGGGCAGGATGTGAACAGTATGGGGGGGGGAAGGAAAGGAATAGTACGGGGGGCAGGAGTGAAACAGTATTGGGGGGGAAAGCAGGAGGGAACAGTATTGGGGGGGGCAGGAGGGAACAGTAGAGGGGAGCCAGGAAAAGAATAGTACGGGGGGGGAGGAAGTAAAGAGTATGGGGGGAGGGCAGGAGGGAACAGTATGGGGGGGGGAGCCAGGAGGGAACAGCGGAGGGGGGGCCAGGAGGGGACTGAACTAGAGGGCACATTACTGGGGTTTGTAGCAGTTTTCCTCCTGCAGAGTAGCTCAGGAAACATTCTGGATGGTATCTGATCCCCGCCTGCCCTCCTCTCTCGTCACATACAGCCAGCTGGGGGCAAGGAGGGGAGGGCCAGCTGGGGGCAAGGGGGGCTGGGGCCAGCTGGGGGCAAGGAGGGAGAGGGCCGGCTGGGGGCAAGGAGGGGAGGGCCGCTGGGGCTTGGGGCAAGGAGGGGAGGGCCGGCTGGGATTGGGCAAGGAGGGGAGGGCCGGCTGGGATTGGGGCAAGGAGGGGAGGGCCGGCTGGGGGCAAGGAGGGGAGGGCCAGGGATTGGGGGCAAGGAGGGGAGGGCCGGCTGGGATTGGGGCAAGGCAGCGATGAAATTGTTCCCCTCTGTTGCTCTGCAGACTGTCAGCTATGTGGGGATGCGATCTGCCCGTCTTCTGCTTGTCATGGATGGGGGGACCTCTCGGACCCCGGTCTAGATGTTGGTCTCACCGTTTTAGTGGAGAGGAGGAAAAGACTATCGGAGAACATTTTGCTGTGACGTGGAGAACATTAATAGGATGTTTTAAAGTTTATAGAAATAAAGTATTTTGTGGAATTTGCGCTCTTACCTGCCACTGACAGCCTGAGAGGAGGACAGAAACTCTCATCTACGGCATCCCAACAATCACCCAACTGTAGGAGGTACAAAATGGAGCCCAACAAGCAAACTAAATTGGAACCTTTCCCCTGCGATGTCCCCTAGTGGCAGAAATGCAGATTTCTCTTGTCTGAGAATTGCATTGAAAAGTACAATGTTACTTGAATTGTATTCCAGGATTTCCTTGTCTTCAGCTGAGACAACGTTTCATGAAGTCTCAGAAATCTTAAATTAAGGTCTTCATGTTATATAGTTTGAATACCTTTGTCATAGATATATTATGTTTCATTTTTAAAAGAACATATTCCACATTTTTCTTTTCTTTTTCTAATTTTGGCTTTGGAAAAAAAAACGAAACGGGGGGAGGAAATTTTTTTTTTTTTTTCCCAATGTGTTTTTTTTTTCTTTTTGTTCTAGGCCTTTCCATCTCTATTCCAAACACACCTGAGCTGGTCCTTAGATGACAGTAATATCCCAATGGTGTCACTGATAACGTCCTCTCCTCTTCATCCCTCAGGAATCCCGATCAGCAGTCTGCGAGAAATCACACTGCTCTTAAAGCTGCGGCACCCCAGCATAGTGGAGCTAAAGGAAGTGGTGGTGGGAAATCACCTGGAGAGGTAAGGCTTAGTGGACCTGTCCTTTTCCAATAGGCTGTTCTTCTGGTTTGGTGCGATGCTCAGTTTGGTGGGCTAGTCCTTCAAGGAGGTTGTGGCAGAGAGGTGACACAGGAAGCTGAATGATGTTGAACTGCTTAAAGGGGAGATACACTGAATGAGCACCACAAACCAAAAGCACTAATCCATTCATTTGTAATACACAAAGCAAACTCCTCTATTCATCTATGTCTCCATCCATCCATGTCTCCATCCATCCATCCATGTCTCCATCCATCCATCCATGTCTCCATCCATCCATCCATGTCTCCATCCATCCATCCATGTCTCCATCCATGTCTCCATCCATCCATGTCTCCATCCATCCATGTCTCCATCCATCCATTGTCCATCCATCCATGTCTCCATCCATCCATGTCTCCATCCATGTCTCCATCCATCCATGTCTCCATCCATGTCTCCATCCATCCATCCATCCATGTCTCCATCCATCCATCCATGTCTCCATCCATCCATCCATGTCTCCATCCATCCATCCATGTCTCCATCCATCCATCCATGTCTCCATCCATCCATCCATGTCTCCATCCATCCATCCATCCATCCATGTCTCCATCCATCCATCCATCCATCCATGTCTTCATCCATCCATGTCTCCATCTATCCATCTGTCCATGTCTCACCGCGCAATTCAAAATGCAACAGGGGCAGGAAGAGGGGGTGACAGTGCCTGGTAGGCAGGGAGGGGGGTGACAGTGCCCGGCAGGCAGGAAGGGGGTGGCAGTGCCCGGGCAGGCAGGAAGGGGGGTGGCAGTGCCCGGCAGGCAGGAAGGGGGGTGGCAGTGCCCGGCAGGCAGGAAGGGGGTGGCAGTGCCCGGCAGGCAGGGGGTGGCAGTGGAAAGGGGGTGGCAGTGCCCGGCAGGCAGGAAGGGGGTGGCAGTGCCCTGTAGGCAGGAAGGGGGTAGAAGTGCCCTGTAGGCAGAAGGGGGTAGATAAGTGCCCTGTAGGCAGGAAGGGGGTAGAAGTGCCCTGTAGGCAGGGGGGCGGTGACAGTGCCCAGAAGGCAGGGAGGGCGGGGGTGACAGTGCCCGGTAGGCAGGGAGGCGGTGACAGTGCCCGGTAGGCAGGAAGGGGGTGACAGTGCCCGGTAGGCAGGAAGGGGGGGACAGTGCCCGGTAGGCAGGAAGGGGGTAGAAGTGCCCGGTAGGCAGGAAGGGGGTAGAAGTGCCCGGTAGGCAGGAAGGCGGTGACAGTGCCGGTAGGCAGGAAGGGGGGGGGGACAGTGCCCGGTAGGCAGGAAGGGGGGTGGGGGGACAGTGCCCCGGTAGGCAGGAAGGGGGGGACAGTGCCCGTAGGCAGGAAGGGGGGGGACAGTGCCCGTTAGGAGGGGGTTAATCTTTTTCATGTGTCGGCCTGTCCTCTGTGCAGTATTTAACAGACAAATGTTTTGGGGAAGGACGCCATCTATTTATCCTCATGTAGCGAGTTGCTGAATACTGAGAGTTATCTCTGTGTCTGATACAAACACAGATCAGAATGATGGGGGGGGGGGACGGTGGGGGGTAACAGTGGGGGGGGAGGGGTTGAAAACTCCCTGCGGTGCGCTGGTTCTCAGATTTGGGATTTATGTACATGGAGTTTGTACGTCACAGAGAGTTTTCTGGTATTTTGCATTAAGATGACCAATTTGTTTTTTTTATTTTTTTTACTTTTCACGTATCTTTGTGTCTCGTTGCTGAATATTATTTATTATTTTGCAGCATTTTCCTGGTGATGGGTTACTGCGAAAGGACTTGGCCAGCCTGCTGGAGAACATGCAGACCCCCTTCACAGAAGCCCAGGTACTGCCACTGATCGGCACTGCTCTGGAGTTACATTTAATTAATAATAAAAGCAGTTTTTTGGGGATATACTAGTATGGTGCGGGCCCCCGCTGTTATATTTCTTCTGGGAGCCCCAGATTCACCTTCTTGCTGGGGACTGTAGGGAATTTTTTTAAATTGAACTAGGCAGCATGGTGAAAAAAATCTTTTGGGGGGCGGATGTAGTATTGGAGGTTCCTTGTAGTGTCTGCAGGAACTTGTGTTGGGCTTCAGATTGATCCCATTAGTATTTGACACAGTGCAGGGGTCAGGAGTAATTCACACAGTGCAGAGAGGCTATTAGTATTTAATACAATGTAGGGGTCAGGAGTAAGTAACACAAAGGGCAGGGGTCAGGAGTAAGTAACACAAAGGGCAGGGGCCAGGAGTAAGTAACACAAAGGGCAGGGGGTCAGGAGTAAGTAACACAAAGGGCAGGGGGGTCAGGAGTAAGTACACAAAGGGCAGGGGGTCAGGAGTAAGTAACACAAAGGGAAGGGGGTCAGGAGTAAGTAAACACAAGGGCTGGGGTCAGGAGTAAGTATCACACAAAGGGGCTGGGGGTCAGGAGCAAGTAACACAAAGGGCTGGGGGTCAGGAGCAAGTAACACAAAGGGCAGGGGGGTCAGGAGCAAGTAACACAAAGGGCAGGGGTGTCAGGGGTTCAGGGGGTCAGCAAGTAAAACAAAGGGCAGGGGGTCAGGAGCAAAGTAACACAAAGGGCAGGGGGTCAGGAGCAAGTAACACAAAGGGCAGGGGGTCAGGAGCAAGTAACACAAAGGGCAAGGGGGTCAGGAGCAAGTAACACAAAAGGGCAGGGGTCAGGAGAGCAAGTAACACAAAGGGCAGGGGGTCAGGAGCAAGTAACACAAAGGGCAGGGGGTCAGGAGCAAGTAACACAAAGGGCAGGGGGTCAGGAGCAAGTAACACAAAGGGCAGGGGGTCAGGAGTAAGTAGTGCAGAGTCCAATCAGCCAATATTATGTAATGTAGGGTTCAGGAGCTAAGTAAGTACAGCTTTGTGCAGGGGGCAGAAGTTTGAAAAGTATATTGTATAAGTCAGTGGTAAGTAATGCATAGTGCAGATTTTGGTAGTAAATGTAATGCAGAAGTCAGTAGTATATAATGCACAAGTACAGGGATCAGTAGTATGTGACACGGGGGTCAGGAGTAATTCATGCAGAGACAGAGGATATTAGTATTGGACAAAGGGCAGGGGGTCACCACAAAGGGCGGGGTTCAGGAAAGTAAAACAAAGGGCAGGGGTCAGGAGTAAGTAACACAAAGGGCAGGGGGTTCAGGAGTAAGTAACACAAAGGGCAGGGGGTCAGGAGTAAGTAACACAAAGGGCAGGGGGTCAGGAGTAAGTAACACAAAGGGCAGGGGTCAGGAGTAAGTAACACAAAGGGCAGGGGGTCAGGAGTAAGTAACACAAAAGGGGTAGGGGTAAGTCAGGAGTAAGTAACACACAAAGGGCAGGGGTCAGGGAGTAAAGGGGGTCAGGAGTAAGTAACACAAAGGGCAGGGGGTCAGGAGTAAGTAACACAAAGGGCAGGGGTCAGGAGTAAGTAACACAAAGGGCAGGGGTCAGGAGTAAGTAACACAAAGGGCAGGGGTCAGGAGTAAGTAACACAAAGGGCAGGGGTCAGGATAAGTAAACACAAAGGGCAGGGGTCAGGAGTAGAGTAAGTAACACAAAGGGCAGGGGTCAGGAGTAAGTAACACAAAGGGCAGGGGTCAGGAGGGTAAGTAAGTAACACAAAGGGCAGGGGTCAGGAGTAAGTAACACAAAGGGCAGGGGTCAGGAGTAAGTAACACAAAGGGCAGAGGGGTCAGGAGTAAGTAACACAAAGGGCAGGGGTCAGGAGTAAGTAACACAAAGGGCAGGGGTCAGGAGTAAGTAACACAAAGGGCAGGGGTCAGGAGTAAGTAACACAAAGGGCAGGGGTCAGGAGTAAGTAACACAAAGGGCAGGGTCAGGAGTAAGTAACACAAAGGGCAGAGGGTCAGGAGTAAGTAACACAAAGGGCAGGGGGTCAGGAAGTAAGTAACAAAAGGGCTGGGGTCAGGAGTAAGTAACACAAAAAGGGGCAGGGGTCAGGAGTAAGTAACACAAAGGGCAGGGGGGTCAGGAGTAAGTAACACAAAGGGCAGGGGGTCAGGAGGTAAGTAAGTAACACAAAAGTAACACAAAGGGGGGGGTCAGGAGTAAGTAACACAAAGGGCAGGGGATCAGGAGTAAGTAACACAAAGGGCAGGGGGTCAGGAGTAACAAAGGGCAGGGGATCAGGAGTAAGTAACACAAAGGGCAGGGGGTCAGGAGCAAGTAACACAAAGGGCAGGGGGTCAGGAGTAAGTAACACAAAGGGCAGGGGGCCAGGAGTAAGTAACACAAAGGGCAGGGGGCCAGGAGTAAGTAACACAAAGGGCAGGGGTCAGGAGTAAGTAACACAAAGGGCAGGGGTCAGGAGCAAGTAATGCAGAGTTCATCGGTCAATATTATGTAATGTAGGATTCTCTTCTCTCTGGACATTCCAAGCGACCCGATAAAAGTTGACCCAAAATTTGTAGAGCCGAGCCGGAACTCGAGGGATTGTTTCGTTATCCTATAACATGGAATCCTATATACTGTACATTTGTCTGCAATGTTGGGAAGTTTTATTTCTTTTCTCCTCTCTCAGGTGAAATGCATTTGTTTCCAGCTGCTGACTGGTCTTCAGTATCTGCATGAGAACTTCATAGTACAACAGGTAGAACATTTCCCCGAACTCTCTGTATATCGAACGCCAAAATATATTTATTATTTTTTTTGGGGTGGAGTAGACAATAGATAAAAGCCCGGTCAGGTTTGTTTTTGCTGTCTGTGTCCAGTTGGGGTTTCCCTTCACTTCCTGTTGCGGAGACACAACAGAAAGTGGGATGAAATCTCCACAAAGCAAGGCAGATCCTTCTTAGTTGTCACAGGAAGCAGTGTTTCCCATTGGAAGATTTCCTCTCTGTTCCTGTTCCAGTGACAACTCCGAAGTCTGGCTTCCCCCTCGCTCTCAGTCCTGGTGATGATGGACATGCAAAGTCTCTTCTACAAACCCCCCCCCCCCCCTTTGCGGGGTTCGGGGAGAGCGGATATAGGGAATACGGATATAGTGAATGCGGGGTCCGGGGAGAGCGGATACAGTGAATGCGGGGTCCGGGGAGAGCGGATATAGTGAATGCGGGGTCCGGGGAGAGCGGATATAGTGAATGCGGGGTCCGCGGGAATGCGGGGTCCGGGGAGAGCGGATATAGTGAATGCGGGGTCCGGGGAGAGAGGATATAGGGAATGCGGGGTCCGGGGAGAGCGGATATAGTGAATGCGGGGTCCGGGAGAGCGGATACAGTGAATGCGGGGTCCGGGGAGAGCGGATACAGTGAATGCGGGGTCCGGGGAGAGCGGATACAGTGAATGCGGGGTCCGGGGAGAGCGGATACAGTGAATGCGGGGTCCGGGGAGAGCGGATACAGTGAATGCGGGGTCCGGGGTGAGCGGATACAGTGAATGCGGCCGGGAGAGTATCAGTGAATGCGGGGGGCGTCCGGGGAGAGCGGATATAGTGAATGCGGGGTCCGGGGAGAGCGGATACAGTGAATGCGGGGTCCGGGGAGAGCGGATACAGTGAATGCGGGGTCCGGGGAGAGCGGATACAGTGAATGCGGGGTCCGGGGAGAGGCGGATACAGTGAATGCGGGGTCCGGGGAGAGCGGATACAGTGAATGCGGGGTCCGGGGAGAGGGGATACAGTGAATGCGGGGTCCGGGGAGAGCGGATATAGTGAATGCGGGATCCGGGGAGAGCGGACATAGTGAATGCGGGGTCCGGGGAGAGCGGATATACAGTGAATGCGGGGTCCGGGGAGAGCGGATATAGTGAATGCGGGGTCCGTGGAGAGGGATACGTGAATGCGGGGTCCGGGGTGAGCGGATACAGTGAATGCGGGGTCCGGGGAGAGCGGAGTGAATGCGGGGTCCGGGTGAGAGCGGATACAGTGAATGCGGGGTCCGGGGAGAGCGGATACAGTGAATGCGGGGTCCGGGGAGAGCGGATACAGTGAATGCGGGGTCCGGGGAGAGATACAGTGAATGCGGGGTCCGGGATACATACAGTGAATGCGGGGTCCGGGGAGAGCGGATACAGTGAATGCGGGGTCCGGGGAGAGCGGATACAGTGAATGCGGGGTCCGGGGGAGAGCGGATACAGTGAATGCGGGGTCCGGGGAGAGCGGATACAGTGAATGCGGGGTCCGGGGAGAGCGGATACAGAGCGGATGAATGCGGGGTCCGGGGAGAGGGGATACAGGGAATGCGGGGTCCGGGGAGAGCGAGCGGATATAGTGAATGCGGGGTCCGGGGAGAGCGGATATAGTGAATGCGGGGTCCGGGGAGAGAGCGGGGTCCGGGGAGAGCGGATATAGTGAATGCGGGGTCCGGGGAGAGCGGATATAGTGAATGCGGGTCCGGGGAGAGCGGATACAGTGAATGCGGGGTCCGGGGAGAGCGGATACAGTGAATGCGGGGTCCGGGGAGAGCGGATACAGTGAATGCGGGGTCCGGGGAGAGCGGATACAGTGAATGCGGGGTCCGGGGAGAGCGGATATAGGGAATGCGGGGTCCGGGGGATATAGTGGAGAGCGGGGTCCGGGGATAGTGGAATGTGAATGGGGGTCCGGGGAGAGAGGATACAGTGAATGCGGGGTCCGGGGAGAGAGGATACAGTGAATGCGGGGTCCGGGGAGAGCGGATACAGTGAATGCGGGGTCCGGGGGAGAGCGGATATAGGGAATGCGGGGTCTGGGGAGAGAGGATATAGGGAATGCAGGGTCCGGGGAGAGCGGATATAGTGAATGCGGGGTCCCCCGTACATCAGATGTCAAGACCCCCCCCCCCACACCAAACACACCATCAGAGGTCCAGAGTCCCCCACCCTCCCTTACATCAGAGTGCACCCCCCTTTACCTTTTGCTGCCTCCGGGAAGAAGTGGGGGGTGGAGCTGGGAACCAGGGTCTGGAGGAGGAGTCAGCTTCCAGTATCTGCTAAATGCTGAGACCGGGGGAGGCGGAGACGAGGGGGTGCTACGTCTGCAAAGAGAGGCGCAGGATCTGTAGATGGCGCTCTATCCTCCTCTCTGCTGCTGACAGTTGAGTTTGGGGAGGGGCCTTGGGGCAGAGATAAGCAGCTTTGTGGCTGCAAGGAGAAGCGCAGGATCTGGCAGAGGGATTCTGTCCTCCTCTCTGCTTACCTCTAGGTATAAACTGTTACAGAAGAGTTTACTACCACTTCGAGGAGGGAGGAGCTAACGTATAAACATAGGGGATGCCCAAAATTAAAATGAAAAAATCTGGTCTCTGTGGCTGGAGTCCAAGGAATGAACACTCCCCCCGCTGTCCCCGGGATCTGCTGAGGGATGATAGATTACACCAGTCGGGTCGGATGGTAGCTGATAGACTGACTCTGAGGATTTTATTTCCACCTCACAATTAGAATTCGATAAAATGCTGCAGAATAGATCGTTCCTGGGGATAAATGTGCAGATCAGGGATCTCGCGTCAGAAGAAAACCAAACAAATTGCACATTCCTTGAAATCACCGTTTATTGCCGTACGTTTTATTTGCTATTTTGTGTTTTTTCTTGTAATTATGTGTTCTTTGGATTGACGTTTGCTCCACATGCTAGAATCTGTCTTATATGAACGTTTTTTGCACACAAAAAAAAATACAGAAAAATCTTAACACAAAAAAAATGACTTGATTGAAAAAAAAAAAAGCTGGAAATCAATACAAGTGATAGTGAGGATGGATTAACAAACGGCCGAAGCACACAGACCGTATTCCAGGGCCCGGCGCCCCGCACCCGCTCTTTGTACATGGTGCCCAACATCCTGGGGGCCGCATGCAGAGGGCTGGTGGGCCACGTGTTGGGCACCCCGGGGTATAGGGCTTTGTTTATGGAGGTTTTCAATGTATTCGTTTTTCTTGGTTGAACTAGATGGATTTTGTTTCTATTTTTCAGCCTAAGGCCCCTTTCACACAAGTGGGACTGATGGGGTCCGTCTGTCTGTTTTTCCTGCAAACCCGATTGGTCCATTTATAGACTTCTATGGACTGGTAGGTGTCACCCGCCGGCATCAGATCCAATCCTGTATGCCAAAAACAGACGGATGGAGATCCCCATCCATCCACCGAATCGGACGACAATCGGGTGGAAACAGACAGGCGATCCGCTTCTATCCGACCGTCCCATTGAAATCAGCAGGCAGTGTCTGCTCTGCAGCAGCAGAAGAGAGACCTGTCATCCGCCTGCTCAGCGGGATCAGTGGAGAGAACACAAGCCCCCGCCCCCCCCCCCCCCCCCCCCCCCCCCTGCCCGGTGAGCAGGCGGACCACGCTGACAGATCCGCCCCGTCTGGGAGGGGCCTAACCATGTGAAGATATTCTATTGATGGATTCATACCTTCTCCTCCTAACAGAGACCTCAAGGTGTCCAATCTGCTGATGACAGATAAAGGATGTGTGAAGATTGGTACGTTGTGACGTTGTGTCCTCCATATTTGTCGGTCCGGCTTCTCTCCCGTTTGTTTCATCGTTTCCTTCGTTGGGCGGAACTCATTGATTGTGTTTTCCTTGCAGCGGACTTTGGTCTGGCTCGTGCGTACAGCGTTCCTGCAAAGCAGATGACTCCGAAAGTTGTGACACTCTGGTGAGTAGCGGGCTGCATGGAGTTTAACCACTTCCTGACCGCCCCATTGCAGAAATGCTGCTACAGGGCAGCAGGGGTGTTCAAAATCCTGTATACACACGTGATCTGGCATTTCCGGATAAGGGCCGCGCACCCTACCCGCTGCACCATCCGTGGCTGTCAATTACCAGGTCCCGGCCAGCAATTTCCCGCCGGCGCCTGGTGATTACTGAGCATCTCCGACTGGGAGGAGGACTGTTTTGTTTACTAACAGTCCTCCTCCCTGTCAGCTCCGGCACACTGCACAGCCATCCATAGCAGTGTGCTTCCAGTGAAGCACACACCCTTTTTTACTAAAATAAGAAACCTGTTATACTTACCTGCTCTGTGCAATGGTATTGCACAGAGCAGCCTGGCTCCTCCTCTTCAGCGGGTGCCACTTCCCATGGGGGGCACCCGTGCGGGGCTCGCTCCTGAGCCGCCCTGTCTGCGTCCATTAACACAGAGTGGGCAACTGAGCCCTGCCCTCAACACACACATATACACCCCCCCCCCCTCCTCTTCAGTGGGTGCCTCCTCCCATGGGAGCAGCACGCTCCTGAGCCGCCCTGTCTCCATTAACACAGGTTCAGCCCCGCTCCTACACACACACACACACACCCTCCTCTTCAGTGGGTGCCCCCTCTCATGGGGGCCCCATGCAGCTCGCTGTGTCTCCCATTAACACAGAGGGGCAGCTGGGCGGCTCAGCCCCGTGCAGGTTCGCCCTTGTCTCCACACATGGGCGGCTCAGCCCCGCCCTTAACACACACACACACACACACACCCTCCTCTTCAGTGGGTGCCCCCTCTCATGGGGGCCCCATGCAGGCTCGCTCCTGAGCCGTCATGTCTGCGTCCATTAACACAGAGCGGGCAGCTCAGCCCCGCCCCCAACACCCCACCTCCTCTTCAGCAGATGCCTCCTCCCATGGGAGCACCCATGCAGGTTCGCTCCTGAGCCGCCCTGTCTGCGTCCATTAACACAGAATGGGCGACTTAGCCCTGCCCTCAACACACACATTCCTCCTCTTTAGTGGGTGCCTCCTCCCATGGGGGCACCCATGCAGGCTCTCTCCTGAGCCGCCATGTCTGCGTCCATTAACACACAGTGGACGGTTCAGCCCCACCCCCAACACCCGCCATGCTGGCTAGGCACAGGATTTAATCGACAGCAGTCTTCCCAGGGAGGAGGGAGACTCTCCTGCACATGGCTGGATGGGGCTCGGGTAAGTATTGGGGGGGGTGGGGGGGAGTTGCAGCACAGAAGGTTTTGACCTTAATGCATAGAATGCAATCCAGCAAACAGCAGCCGTAAGGCCTCAGAACCGCTTTAGTCACATGGTCGGCAAAAGACGCCATCCAGAAAAAAGTCCGTCCAGGTAAACCAATCAGTGTTTTCTTTTCTGATTTCAGGTACCGCGCCCCTGAGCTGCTGTTCGGAAGTACAACACAAACAACCGCCATCGATATGTGGTGAGACCCTGAACCTCCAAACTACTATGAGAACTTAAAAGTCAACACACATCCTGCTAGGCTTGTTTTATATGGGGGGGGGGAGGGGATTCTGTAAAAAATGAGACAATGGAGCTAGCAGTCGGGTCATATAATGTTCCCCCCTCCCCCCCTCCCTTCATTGTGGCTCTTATACAGAGAATATCTCAACACAGAAATCGCCCGAAAATTAGGTTTTGATATTTGTAGGCATATCTGTAGCCACAACTCAATTTTTTTTTTAATTTTTGGATTGAATTAGGAAGGTTTTTAATTGGCTGTAAACCTCTGAAATTAAAAATGAACAAAGCACATCGTTCTGTAGTGTGTACTGGAATAATTTCAAGGCACCCGGAGTGGCTCCTGGCCCCTCTCTCCTTCCTTTGCTATCTGCGGAAGTCACTTCTGACAATTACTGGGGAATCTTGAGAGATCGCCCCCCCTTTCAGCAGGAAACGTGATTGACAGCCCCAGATGTGCATGTTTCCTGTGACCTGTGTAGAGAGGGAGGTGTGTCCATTACCTCCACTCAGGTCTCAGATTACACTCAGCTCCCTGCTCTATGCTGTGCATTATGTGACATCAGATCCCCTCCCCCTGCCTTTGAGAGCTAAGAAATGCTGTGTAAATTCTGTATGTTGACCAGCTGTAGAGAAGAGAGGCTGCAGATAAATGGGTACAACATATGATGGAAGATTTTTCATCTTTCTGTATCACCTGGGGATAGTCCCTTCACTGGGTATATGTGAGTTTAAAGCCGAAGACTAGAATCCAGTCAGATTTGTATTGCTGTTAGCGTCCCGATCTACCTACAGACAGGAGAGTCACATAATCGGCAAACTACAAATCCTTCATCAGGTCGAACATTTCATCCTCTTCTCAGAATCGGTGAGTGACGCACGCTGAACCTCTTCACGCCGGCTCCTCTGCTGCTGAACACAAATGTGCGGCATCCCAGCATCTGGGCCTAGACGCCGAGCTCCCGCACATTGGCTTTCTATTAAAAAAAAAAACGTGCTGAGAGCGCGCGCCCTGCACGCTCCCAGCACACATGTCCGGTACTCACTGAAAGGTTCCGATCTCCTCTTTTGATCGGGACCTTTCCCGATCATGTGACCGCCATGACCCTAAACCCCGCCCTGCCTCCCAGCTTCTGAAACTCTTAAAGGGCCGGGAGGCGCCAGCGTGAAGCGGTTAAAATTCTCTGCGGTTTACATCAATGAAAGGTGAGTTGTCTGTAAATAAAATTTTGATTAAAAAAAATTTTATTGACAAAGATTTTAGGTTACAGAACAAAGGAAAAATCTCCCCATTCCCCTCCACTGACTATTCCCCCCCCCCCCCCCCCCGGACATAGATCCCGCTTTGGTGATGGTGGCAAATTGATTCCAGCGCTTCTCTCGTCCATACAGGGCGGTGGGCTGTATCCTGGCTGAGCTTCTGGCTCACAAGCCATTGTTACCGGGATCTTCGGAAATCCAGCAGATCGATCTTATTATACAGCTTCTGGGGACACCGAATGACACCATCTGGCCGGTATGTGGGGGCTCAGCCCCCGAAATTCTTCTTTTGCAACTGTAGACTGTTGTTACATGAAAGGAAGTCGATGTGGATGGTTAGCGGTGTCGCTTTCTCATGGGTGTCACTGAGAGCCTCGGGTCCCGTTATAACAGTCTGTACCCAGAACTCCCGATTCCGGGTCACATGATTGCTGTGATAGCCTCTGATTGGTGTGGCGCGCTCCCCTCGGGTCCCGCACAAAGACTCCTGGGGTGTCACTGAGAGCCTCGGGCAGTTCTTGGTCCCAGTTCTAACAACAATTGGGGACCCAGAACTCCCGATTCCGGGTCACATGATCGCTGTGATAGCCTCTAATTGGCTATCACAGTGATCAGTCACTGTGAAGCCCGCCCCCCCCTTGTTTTCATTCGGTGAATGGAGGAGGGAGATACATTGGATCTCTGTCCTTTCAGAGACAAAAAAAAAGGTGTAAAAAATAAATCAAAATAGTAATTAACAAATACCTAGATCAGGGGTAGGCAACCTGCGGCTCTCTAGCTGTTGTGGAACTACATTTCCCATGAGGCATTGCAACATTACAAAACTGAGTTACAGCTATGACTTGCAGAGGCATGATGGAACTTGTAGTCCTGCAACAGCTGGAGAGCCGCAGGTTGCCTACCCCTGATATGAAGGTTTGATCTAGGTTAGTGTGTGGGTCAAGGTCAAAGGTCAGGGTCAGTTTGTTTTTGCGTTTTGTTTTTTTTTTTTTGGTCAGTATTTTTTTTTTCATTTTTAAATTAGTATCCTTGTCAGTTAGTGACGGGATACAAAAAAAAGCAAATTGCGCTCTATTGTTTCTGGGCCGCACTTCGGGGTCAAACCACAGCTGATCACGTGATATGGTGAACTGCCGATCACGTGATATGGTGAACTGCCAATCACAGCAGCCTTTTACCACGTGATCAGCCGTGTTCAATGACAAATTTTCTTTAGAAAATCATAAATTTGGTGCATTTTCTCATCCGATGGCGCCACCATTGCTTTCGAAATTCGACCAACCGAGCCTTCAGTTTGCTACAGAAAAGAATTTTCATGGCCAAGAATTTTCTTTTCTTTCCAGGTCGCGGCTCATTTCTTTTTCGATGACATTTCTCGCACGATTCTTCCATCATTGATTAGAAATTTGTTTTTCAAAAAATTTCCAACATGGCCGATCAAATTTTTTAATGGTCACGTAAAAATCGTTCTTTCTGTGGCCCACTAATGGTGCGAAATTCCAACAAGAAAGATTTTTGAAAAGAAAATCCTTTTGGGAATTTGACCCGCGCTGGCTTTAGATGGGGGTGTAGAGGAGACCCTCGCGGTAGCTGCTCCTGGGACTGGCAGTTGCCGATCGACCTCCTCCTATCAGCGTCTTTGTTCTCATTGCAGGGCTTCTCAAAGCTGCCTCTGGTTGGTCAGTACACGGTCCGCAAGCAGCCGTACAACAACCTGAAGCACAAGTTCCCCTGGCTGTCCGAGGCCGGCCTGCGGCTCCTCAACTTTCTCTTCATGTACGACCCAAAGAAGAGGTAAGAGGACAAGATGGCGGAATGTTGTCATCGAACGTCCTGAACCTCCATACTGAGCGATGTTCTCTCTCCCACCTTCTCAGAGCCACAGCGGAGGACAGCCTGGCCAGCTCTTACTTCAAGGAAAAGCCTCTCCGTGAGTAGCCGTGCCACACATTAAGAGGATATGGGGGGGGGGATCGGTCAGAGGATACGGGGGGGGGGGGGGGGAATCGGTCAGAGGGTACAGGGGGGGATCGGTCAGAGGATACTGGGGGAGGGAATTGGACAGAGGTTACGTGGGGGGGTCTATCAGAGGATACCGGGGGGGGAGGAGGGAATCGGTCAGAGGATAGTGGGGGGGGGGGGGGGTTGGGGAGGAATCAGTCAGAGGATATGGGGGGGTGGATCGGTCAGAGGATACGGGGGGAGGGAATTGGACAGAGGTTACGTGGGGGGGGGGATACTCTATCAGAGGATACCGGGGGGGGGGGGGGGGGGGGGGGGGGAGGAATCGGTCAGAGGATAGTGGGGGGGGGATCGGGGGATTGGGGGGGGGGGAGGAATCGGTCAGAGGATATGGGGGGGGTGGATCGGTCAGAGGATATGGGGGGGGGGGGTGGGGGGGGTGGATCGGTCAGAGGATATGGGGGGGGGGGGGGGTGGATCGGTCAGAGGATATGGGGGGGGTGGGTCGGTCAGAGGATATGGGGGGGGTGGGTCGGTCAGAGGATATGGGGGGGGGGGGTCGGTCAGAGGATATGGGGGGGATGGGTCGGTCAGAGGATATGGGGGGGTTGGGATCGGTCAGAGGATATTGGGGAGGGGGATCGGTCAGAGGATATGGGGGGGGGGGGGGTTGGATTGGTCAGAGGATATGGGGGGGGGAGAGATCGGTCAGAGAGGATATGGGGAGGGGGGGTCGGTGGAGGAATCAGTCAGAGGATATGGGGGGGGGGGGGGTTGGATATCGGTCAGTCAGAGGATATGGGGGGGGGGGGGGAGGTTGGATCGGTCAGAGGATATGGGGGGGGGGGGACAGATGATCGGTCAGAGGATATGGGGGGGGAGAATCGGTCAGAGGATATGGGGGGGGGGATTGGTCAAGACTGCAACAGCGCTCAAAGGCATACTGGAAAAGAACGACCAAGACTTGGGTGTCATCCAAACACATTGTGAAGGAACGACTCCATCAGCCCACACATTGCCTTGGGACAGGTTACTGTATAGTCGGATACTGACGATCGGCAGTTGGTAGTCGATGTGAGCGATCCTGAATTACCCCTGCCGTTATGAGGATCCATGACGCAATCCGTGGATTCCTTCTCCTCTGTGGTGGAATGTCCTGCCGTTTATGAGGATCCATGTAGTAGAGGAACGCACGTCACTGAGAGCCAATGGAATTCCTTCTCCCTGCACCCCACTGGAGTGAACACGTATCCACTGCAGGACCAGAACACGTCACTCCCCCAGGGCCCGAGATACACTCCACTGCAGGACCAGAAACACGTCACTCAGATACACCCACTGCAGGTCCCGGGGGGGCCCCAGATACACTCCACTGCAGGACCAGAACACGTCACTCCCGGGGCCCCAGATACACTCCACTGCAGGACCAGAACACACGTCACTCCCGGGGCCCCAGATACACTCCACTGCAGGAGCCAGAACAGAACACAACTGTCAGGTAGCTCCTCGGGGCCCCAGATACACTCCACTGCAGGACAGAACACGTCACTCCCCAGATCACTCCCAGGGCCCCAGATACACTCCACTGCAGGACCAGAACACGTCACTCCCGGGGCCCCAGATACACTCCACTGCAGGACCAGAACACGTCACTCCCGGGGGCCCCAGATACACTCCACTGCAGGACCAGAACACACGTCACTCCCGATGCATGGTGCCACCCGGGAACCGAGATACACTCTACCGCAGGGAGAAGGAATTCCATCGGCTCTCAGTCATTGCGTTCCTCTACAGGGTGTCAAACACAAGGCCCACGGGCCGAATCTGGCCCTCCAGGCATTTCATGTGGCCCTTGCACCTCTCCTGCAGGTACCCCCTTGTGTCTCAGCAGTCGGCAGCAGAGAGGAGGATTAGAACACCTCCGCCAGATCCTGCATTTCTCAGTACAGCTGCAGTCCCCCCCTCATCTCTGCCTCCCCCGGTCTCAGCATTCAGCAGACTCTGGTAACTGACTCCAGCCCTCCTCTGGTCCTCCTCCAGACCCGGCACTTTCTGCTTTCCAGCTCTGCCCTAAAGGGGGTGCATGGTGATGTTATGGAGGGTGGGGGATTCTTGATTGGGGTGCTCTGGACATGTAGTCAAGTGTAAAAGACCATGTTTATATGTTTGCCGCCTGCAGGAGTCCACTTCCACCTGTTGTTATTTTACTGTCGTGGTTTTAAATGACATCCTGGAATCTGATTGGTCCCTTTGGGCGACAGTAAATTCTGCCTTTAGTACATTTCTCCCCCATCAGACCCCCAGGATACATTTTTACAGAAAATAACACTTTTATGTAATTTTGCTTTTTTTTCAGCTTGTGAGCCGCAGCTGATGCCGACGTTCCCTCATCACCGCAACAAAGGGTGTGTGAGCAGCGTCGGGGTGGAGAGCCAGGCTAAACGCTGCAAACCGTGAACCGCCGTACTTGTGTCTGCGAATAGGAGTGGAGCCGCCATGTTTTCCAGTGCAATGTGATGCTGTCTGGAAGATGTCTCTGCAGTAAGAGCAGACAATAGTGTAACCGGGAATTCGGTGTCACCTGTCATTGGGCAGCTCGAGTATGAGGACCGAACTATGGAGAACCACGGCCAAGGTTTCCTCTGGGTGCCTGGAGTCATCCTGGTCCTCTCTGATGAGGACTACATTGCAAAGCGTGACATATGGGGGGAGGGGGTTGGCTGCCCTTTCTGAAGGTGGGAAAGGGGGTTGGCTGCCCTATGTGGGGAAGGGAGTTGGCTGCCCTTTGTGAGGGTGGGGGTTGGGTTTGGGTTGTTTGCCCTTTGTGAGGGTGGGGTGAGGGTGGGTTGGTGGTGGCTCTGCCCTTTGTGTGGGAGGGATACTCAGCGGTGATCTATGAGTGTTTCTGATGGCTGCCAAGGGCTGTCCAACCAACTGCCATCCTTGCTGAGTTTTTGTGGTGCACCCTCTTCTGTTGTGGACATCGATTTCCTGTAGCTGCTGTGGCATCGGACTACGCCACCCCCCCCCCCCCCCCAGCCTCCAGCGCTTATGAGGACCTAAACCAAGAATGGCGTTCCTTACCCCTGTCCCTATCAGTGTGGGGGGGTCCTCCTGCACTGGCATCAGTGTATATGAGGGGGGGGGGGGGGGGGGTCCTCCTGCACTGGCCTCAGCCTATTCATTTCAGAGGTGTCTGTCCTGTCCGCCATTTTTATTTGAGAAGTTTTATAACAAAGTAAAGAAAAACGTTTCCCGACATTTGTAGTCTTTTCTGCAGAAAAAATAACCCCCCCCCCCCCCTCCACTTGCACCACACAGAAAACGCATGCGATGTGACTGTGATCCGGGGCTGAAGGAGTGGCAGTGATCTGCAATTGTTTTGAACGAATCCCGGGGGTCTGCGATCCTTTTGCTCCCATCGACTTCCATTGGTTCCCTGAGGTCACCCTCCTTGGCGGGAGAGACTCCGTGTTACCCAGAACAAGAAGAATCCGAATATCAATCAGCGAGAAAGCTCCAGTCAGTCCTTCTGCTGTCGAGGGACTACAAGTCCCAGAATGCTTTGCCAGCTGTGCCGCCAGCACTTTTCATGAGGGGCATCCTGCAGGCCATACACGGGTCAAATACTGAACAAATGTTCTTTTGAAAATTGTCATTAAGAATTTTAGTTGGAATTTCGCACCATCAGTGGGACCGATTTTGGAGCGGCCATCCAATGTAAGCGATCGGGCACAATGGAAATTTTTTTGAGAAGCAAACTAATTTCTAATCAATGATGGGAGAATTGTGCGAGAAAGGAAATCGACAAAGAGATGAGCGCGAGCCGCGACCTGGAAAGAAAAAAAAAAAAAAGATTCTCGGCCACGAAAATAATTATTTTCTGTAGCAACATGTGAAATGAAAGACTCGGTTGGTCAAATTTCAAAATCAATGGCGGCGCCATCGGGTTACAAAACGCACAAAATTTCCGATTTTCTAAAGAAGATTTAGGATTTGACCCGTGTATGGCCGGCATTATTATGGGGGAGAATCGGGGAAAACATGAATTAAAGAAAACAAGAAATCTGATCAATAACATTTATTTGTTTTCCTCGTACAATCGCTTCATTGGAATATTTATTAGTAAAAATCTACAAAAAAAAAAGAAATCCATTCACGTTAAAAAACAAGGAAAGTTCATCGGCCGCCATCCCCCTCCCCTATAGATTTGGATCTGGTCACTCTCCTATCTCAGACAATAAATCGCAGCTCTGGGCTGTAGTTGTGACGCCCCATGCAGACGGGGGGAGACCATACGGCAGGGTTGCTATGCCGACGCATTTGAGGCGTGGCCTACTTTATCAAGTCAAGCTGGCGGCTAATGGAAAACCCCGATCTCTACTTGCGATTGGGAGCTTTCTGGTCATGTGACAGCCAATCACGGCAGTCATGTGATCAGAAACCTTGCCCCACCTCCCGGCATCTGGAACCCCTTAAAAAGCCTTAAGGTGCCAACGCCAAGAGGTTGCAGTGGTTGTATCGCCGAAACATTTCTTACCTTAATGCATTCCCTGCATAAAAGGTGAAAGAATGTCCCAGTATTTGTATCGCCCCTCCCCTCCCCCTCCTACCTACCCGAGCCTGAACTTGGTACAGCACTGTGCCCATCTGCAGAGGCTCTTCTCCCCGCTCTCAGGTTTTGCTGGATGGTTCCCGGTGCTGTCAGTCAACTCCTACAATACGGGGGGGGGGGGGGGCGGGGTTGGTTTCTGGCCGAGCCTCACTATGTCTATAGATGCAGGCGGCGCAGCTCAGGATCAAGCCCTCAGGTGTGCCACCATAGGAAGCTGAGAAATGAAGGCGACAGTGAGGCACCCGACGAGGAGGATCAGAGCTGCTCTGCGCCAAACCATCATACAGACCAGGGAAGTATATTATGTTTGTTATTAAGAAAAAACAAATTGACTTTAGAAGTGCTAGAAATTTATTGTACCTAAGCAGTACCTTAAAAAATTGACAATTTTCTAATTCGTACTAAAAAATATCTGTGCACTTCCTGTGCCGAAACACTGGTGTACCTACAACCTCATAGCTGGATATCTGCAGCGTAGAATCATCTAAGGCACTGCTGCCTCTGACTGCTGGTCTCAGGAGATTGAGTGAGGGCTCTGCTGGTCTCGGGATTGGGTGAGGGCACCACTGGTCTTGGGATTGGTTGACGTCACTGCTGGTCTCAGCAGATTGGTTGAGGTCACCGCTAGTCTCAGCGGATTGGTTGAGGGCACCGCTGGTCTCAGGGGATTGGGTGAGGGCACCGCTGGTCTCAGGGGATTGAGTGAGGGCACCGCTGGTCTCAGGGGAATAGGTGAGGGCACTGCTGGTCTCAGGAGATTGGGGGAGGTACTGCTGGTCCCAGGAGACTGGGGGAGGGCACTGCTGGTCGCAGGAGATTGGGTGAGGGCATTGCTGGTCGCAGGAGATTGGGTGAGGGCATTGCTGTACTAATCACTGTTCTCCTTGCTGGAATAGCAGCTGTATCTAGAGACCTGCAGTGCAAGGATCTCCCTGCTTCTTGCTTTGGCTCTGTGCTTCCTCTACCTTCTGAATATTACTCCTCCAGTCATCAAGGGACAGCTCTGACCTAAAGAATCAAAGCCCCGCCTCTACCAATAGGTCCACTTCCACACCGAAACAGTGCAGACTATGGTATGGAAGACTGCAGGGTGCAGACAGAGTGCAGGGTGCAGACTATGGAATAAAAGAACGCAGGGTGCAGACTATGGAACGGAAGACCGCCGGGTGCAGACTATGGAACGGAAGAGAGCCGGGGTGCAGACTATGAAACGGAAGAGAGCGGGGTGCAGACTATGGAACGGAAGAGAGCGGGGTGCAGACTTGGAGCGGAAGAGCGCGGGGTGCAGACAGGGTGCTATGGAACGGAAGAGCGCGGGGTGCAGACTATGGAGCGGAAGAGCGCGGGGTGCAGACTATGGAACGGAAGAGCGCGGGGTGCAGACTATGGAACGGAAAGAGCGCGGGGTGCAGACTATGGAACGGAAGAGCGCGGGGGTGCAGACTATGAAACGGAAGAGCGCGGGGTGCTGACGGAGTGCAGGGTGCCTGGTCCCTTGTCCTCTGCTGGACTTTTTGTGCTATCGCTGTACAGGTCCTCTTTAAGGAGTCTCATTAATTTACTACCATCCCCCTTCTGAAACCGCTATATGCCTGTCAATGATCCAATCCCGCACCTTCAGTACCCCGAACATAGAGGCAGATCAGATCTGACACTTCTTATGAGGAGACAGAAGATGGAACGATCCAGAGGAGTTACAACGGAGCGAATCATTGGTGTGACTATAAATAATTGCATAAACACCGTCACTGCGTGTGGTGGGGGGGGGGGGGGGGGGGGGGGGGGAATGGCACCATATGATGGAGTTCCCAATTTCAACAACCCCTCCATCCTAGCTGAGGCAGACGGATGTAGATTTCCCCGTCTACATTCCAGCCAGTCCGCTATCACCCGCCTGTGACACCGCCGCAGCTCCGACACCGCCGCTCTCACCACCGCAGCTCCGACACCGCCGCTCTCACCACCGCTCTCACACCACCGCAGCTCCGACACCGCCGCTCTCACCACAGCAGCTCCAACACCGCCGCTGTCACCACCGCAGCTCCGACACCGCCGCAGCTCCGACACCGCCGCTCTCACCACCGCAGCTCCGACACCGCCGCTCTCACCACCGCAGCTCCGACACCGCCGGCCGCTCTCACCACCGCAGCTCCGACACCGCCGCTCTCACACCACCGCAGCTCCGACACCGCCGCAGCTCCGACACCCGCCGCTCTCACCACCCAGCTCCGACACCGCCGCTCTCACCACCACAGCTCCGACACCCGCCGTTCTCACCACCGCAGCTCCGACACCGCCGTTCTCACCACCGCAGCTCCGACACCGCCGTTCTCACCCACCGCAGCTTCGACACCGCTGCTGCTCTAACACCGCCGCTCTCACCCGCTGTTCGGCTTTCAATGTCTTCCTGAGATGAAGCCGCACTGCACAGAAATGGGAGAAGCAGCTCGCCGTCCTCCAGCACCCAACAAATGTATAGTCATGCTGACCAATGGGGTCCTGTTGACCATGGAGGACCTTGTAAGGTGCAAAACAAAGAATCTGCTATTGCTACCATGGCGACCGCACGTTCCATAGGTGTACTCCTTTACCGACCTGAAACAAGTATGGAAGTTCTGACTTCACTGGATGCATACTTGTTTCTGGTCAATGACTCGCCAAGCAGTGGAGGAGGGATAGGGGTGACGGCTTTGAAGGTTGTCATGGGGGCTGCTGCAAGTCTGGACAGGCACCTACATCCTCCCAGACCATCCTGGCATTTCAAAGACCTGACAACGCTGATGTTTTCCCGCCCCTTCCTGCCTTCTGCACATTTCTATTGGCTGTGGATGACTGAGGGCTGAGCTAACACTACAAGGATGGGTCAGGGCTTTGTCTGTCAAAATGGTGGCTGTAAACCCTCCATATCCCCAGTGACCGGCCTCAGGTGATACACAGAGAGGAAAAAGACCCTCCTACATACGTTGTACCTGTGTATCTGCAGTCCTCTCTACATCTGTTTACAGTACATAATTTATACAGCTTGTCTGAGCTTTCAGAAAGCAGGAGGCTGAAGTTACATTCTGCAGAGATCAGTGAGCCGATTGAAGGAAGGGAAAAGGAGCTCCCTCCCCCCTTCACACAGCAACAAAACTGAGGCTGTCAATCACAGGCTGTGCGCTGGAGCTCCCGTCACCTTTTTATCTCGTCAGAAGAACTTGTCAGAAGTGACTCATGCAGAGGAAGGAGGCAGCAGACAGAAATGACACTAAGCCCTGGTTCACATATATGCGGCTGTGCGGGCACAAGAGCCCATTCATTTGAATGGACTCCCGTGTCCCGGGACACGCAGGGAAGTCCCTACACTTCTTTGGAAACCACAGCCCACCCCGGAACCTCGGCTCCCAGTGCGGTTGCAATTTTCAGTGCAGGCGGCGTGCCATTAGAATTAATGGCACCCGCCCGCGGGTCCACATTCTTTTGTGGGGGTGGTGCGGCTGTTCGGATTTTTGTGCGGATCCACAGCGTCACCACCCGCACAGATGTGAACCGAGCCTTAGTGCTCTGGACTGAGACAAGGACACACTACAGAGGGATGCGCTTTGTTCACATTTCATGTCTGAGGTTTAGAACCACTTTAATGGAAGGATCTGGGATGCTGGTACAGCAATCAGCAGCAGTTTGCAATTAAAAAAGTTGGCAAGAGTAGATTCCATTTCTGTATCCTGATTGGTTCCCTGGTGGTAACCGCTCTGCCCATTCCCCTAGAAATGACGGTAGAGATCTATACTTCACTTCCCCTCTCCAGGGCGCTGTCTACACACAGCTGGGTCAGGTCCATGAGGCTCCTCCGTAGCCACAGTTGCTGGTCCTTCTCCAGCATGATCATTCTGGCGCAGTGCTGCCTCCCTCGGCACTCCTCCAGCTGCTTGCAGTTTATGTAGTGCAGCTCCCTGCACTGGGAACAGCGGTAATGCGGTAAATTCCCCGGGTGTAAGCAGATGTGCAGCTTGTACTGCCTGCCCTCTTCCTGCATCACGGCCTCCCGCTTCTTGGTCGGAGTCAGCGGAGTGAGCGCATGGCCGGAACTCCTACACAGGGACAGCCGCGGACAGGAAGAGCTGTGGAGAAGGCGGCACTCCGCACAGCACTGCTGTAACGATCCATCCGTGTACACGCAGTCATGCATGGTATACTCCGCCTGCATCTGGAGCGACGCAGAGCCGGCGTCCTCTCCTTGCGGGAGAAGATCCCCTTTCCTCTTGAGGAGCACAAGCCGCTCCGTTCTTTCCCTGCATCTCCGTTCACGTGCTGCTCCCAGGTCTCGTGGCAATGGTCGCAGAATTTGGGTCGGTACAATTCGCCAACTTTATCAAAGTCACAGCTATTGAGTGCGTCCGCGGTGGGAGGAGACTTGGGAACCTGGGCGGCTTCCTGGATGAGTTTCTGCAGCCTCTCCATACATGCAGCTTCTCCTCTCCACGTCTTCCTCTCCTGGATGAGGTCGGCTCCGTTCACCAGCGCCGGTCCGGAGATGAGGACGATGTCCGCCAATATGCGACACTCCAAACTGAGCAGCAAGGAAGCCCAGGGCTGCCGTACTGAGCATGTGCGCTAAAGGCGGGGCACGGAGAGACAGGCAAGCCCCGCCTTCCTGAGGTTCGTACCCCAGTTTGCCGAGAGCCAATAAAATTCCATCTTGAGAGAGCGCCGGCTCCAGGAGGTGGACATAATGGCCAGAGTAGGTCTGCAGGGAGACAAGGGAGATGACCAGCGTGGGTGTGAAGCCAGAATACAAAAATACAGCATTCATCCAGATTACCAAAATATCACAGAGAGGGGTTCAAAATTCTGTACTCAGGTTCCGGGAGTGTCCCACTCACTCATACAATGATGATAGCAAAGATACAGCGTCATGAAAAACTATTCATACCCCTATAACAGAAAAACACAAGAGAACACCGAACTCAGAAGTGCCACCTTGGCGTGAACTCCACAGGCCGGATATGATGTCACTGGTTAACTCTGCCCAACACGTTTCGTCCCTCCCCGTGATGTCCTATCCGGCCTGTGGAGTGCGCGCCGCCGAGGTGATGCTTCCGGTTTGGCGTTGGCAGGCGTTTTGCAATGCAGTGAAACATGTATGTATGTAAAGTTGGCTTTACATGCAGCCAGCAACCCGGGACATCCAAATATATTGGTCTTTATTCACCACAGGGTGACCACAGGATAAAACATCTTCCAAGGTAGCCATGATGAAGGCCTTATGGCCGAAACACGTAAACTGTTTTATCCTGGGATTACCCTGTGATGAATAAAAAACAATTTACTTGGATGTATGTAAAGCCAGCCATCTTCACCTCCTTGAGACCACCAAAATGGGAAGCATCACCTCAGTGAGCACTCCACGGGCCGGATAGGACATCACCGATGATGGGGAGGGGCGAAACGTGTCGGGCAGTTAACCAGTGACGTCACATCCAGCCTATGGAGGGTACACCAAGATGGCACTTCCGGGGGTTCGGTGTTCTCATCTGTTATATTATTTTTTTTACCGCTGCCCTGCCCTGTAGCAGATATACTGCTAGAGGGTGGCACGGGTGCGCAAAATCGTATATATATATATATATATATATACACATACGTGATTTTGCATTTCCGGGTAGGGGGGTGCGCACTCTACCCGCATCGCCATTCGTGGCCGTCAATCACCGGGCTCCGCCCAGTAATTACCGAGCATCTCCAACTGGGAGGAAGATTGTTTTGTTTACTAACAGTCCTCCTCCCTGTCAGGCTCGGGCACACTGCACAGCACAGCCATCCAGATCAGTGTGATCACAGTGAAGCACACAGACACCGCCCCCCCTAGTAAATCACTCCCTACATATAGTTAACCCTTTGATAGCCCCTCACATTAACCCCTTCCTGCCCAGTGCCATTTGTACAGTGTCAGGGCTTTTTTTTTTTTTCTAGCACTGATCACTGTATTGGTGTCACTGGGGATGTCAGTGACACCAAGTCAGTTACCCCCAGTGTCAGCATCGCTGATCGCTGCCATTACTGGTAGAAAAACAAAATCCCCGTATCTATACCGCCATTTGTAGACGCTATAACTTTCACGTAAACCAATTAATTTACATGTATTGGGTTTTTTTTTTTAGCAAAGACACGGAGCGGGATACATTTTGGACGAAATTTAGGACGAAATTTGATTCAATTGTTTTACTGAACACGTTTTATAGCAAAAAGTCCAAAATATTGTTTTTTTTTTTCTCAAAATTGTCGGTCTTTTTTTTGGTTATAGCAAAAAAAATTAAACCGCACAGGGGATCAAATACCACCGAAAGAAAGCTCAATTTGTGGGAAAAAAAGTTCGTAAATTTGAGTGCAGTGTTGCATGACCGCGCAATTGTCAGTTAAAGTAATGCAGCGCCGTAATGCAAAAAATGGCCTGGTCAGGAAGGGGGTAAATCCTCTGGAGGGGGAGGGGGGAATCCTCTGGAAAACCACTGAAAGATACCCTTATAGCAGTTTTACCGCTACAGGGCAGTCCTCCAGTACAAAATCAGGTCTATATACACGTGATTTTGCACTTCCACCATAGGGGGAGGGTGCGCCGCCGTCGGTTTGCTTCTGCTGTGAACACTAACAAGAGAAGCTGATCTGTGAGTCCCGGTAAACAGATGTTCGCCGGCACCCGCCAATCGTCAGGCAGGACAAAGAACAGAGCTCTGCCTATGTGAAAACAAGGCACTGTTCTGACAGGGAGGGAAGTGAAGGATCTTGTGTCCCTGCGAACATGAGCCTTCACTTCCCCAAGTAACATCGCCACCTACTGTACACCAAGCACATTGCAAGGCACACAGTTAACCCTTTGATCACCCTAGATGTTAACCCCTTCCCAACCAGTGACACCAGCACAGTGATCAGTGTATACTTTAGCACTGATCACTGCATTCGTGTCACTGGTTCCCACAAAGTGTAAAAATGTCCGCCGCAATATTGCATTCCCACTATAAGTTGCTGATTGGCGCCATTATTAGTATAAAAAGAGAAATCCATTTCCAGTAACCGTCCCGCAGTTTTCAGACGCTGTAACTTCTCCGCAAACTAATCAATACATGCGTATCGGGATTTTTTGTAGATGTAGCAGAATACATTTGGGAGACCTCACTCACCTTTATGGTATAAAACTCTTTTCTCCAAGGAGTGAAGTAAAGATGAAGGGCCGCCTGCTCCAGGGCCTGGAAGGCATTGGCCATACGATTCAGGGCGGAGAGAAGATCTGATTGGTCCTGGAGGCCGCTGGCAATCAAGGAGAAGGCATCATTGTGGAGAGCGTTGTGCAGGTCGGGCTCTTCCAGGATCCTCCGTCTCGCCGCGTCAATCAGCTTGGTGTCAGCGCAGGGAGCGGCATCATCCTGAGTGCAGGCAACGAGCAGCCAGCTCTGGTACTGAGCCAGCAAGGAGTCCACCGCCATCCTGGGGGAGACAATGGAGACAATTCTACAGATCTGTAACCAATCGGCTGGGAACACAAACAGATCCCAGAGCCGTGACTTCCTATCTGTTGTATGTAAAGTCCTCACATTTCAGCAAAGAGAGAGAGAGATTGCTACACTCTTTGCTCCGGGTACCCTGCTCCCTGTCCCTCCCGAGTGTCAGCGCTCCGGGTACCCTGCTCTCCCTGCTCCCTGTCTCTCTCCCGAGTGTCAGCGCTCCGGGTACCCTGCTCTCCGTCTCTCCCGAGTGTCAGCGCTCCGGGTACCCTGCTCTCTGTCCCTCCCGAGTGTCAGCGCTCCGGGTATCCTGCTCCCTGTCCCTCCCGAGTGTCAGCGCTCCGGGTATCCTGCTCCCTGTCCCTCCCGAGTGTCAGCGCTCCGGGTACCCTGCTCTCTGTCTCTCCCGAGTGTCAGCGCTCCGGGTACCCTGCTCTCTGTCTCTCCCGAGTGTCAGCGCTCCGGGTACCCTGCTCTCCGTCTCTCCCGAGTGTCAGCGCTCCGGGTACCCTGCTCTCCGTCTCTCCCGAGTGTCAGCGCTCCGGGTACCCTGCTCTCTGTCTCTCCCGAGTGTCAGCGCTCCGGGTATCCTGCTCCCTGTCCTCCCGAGTGTCAGCGCTCCAGGTACCCTGCTCTCTGTCTCTGCCGAGTGTCAGCGCTCCAGGTACCCTGCTCTCTGTCTCTCCCGAGTGTCAGCGCTCCGGGTACCCTGCTCTCTGTCCCTCCTGAGTGTCAGCACTCCGGGTCACCTGCTCTCTGTCCCTCCTGAGTGTCAGCGCTCCGGGTACCCTGCTCCCTGTCCCTCCTGAGTGTCAGCGCTCCGGGTACCCTGCTCTCCGTCTCTCCCGAGTGTCAGCGCTCCGGGTACCCTGCTCTCCGTCTCTCCCGAGTGTCAGCGCTCCGGGTCACCTGCTCTCTGTCCCTCCTGAGTGTCAGCGCTCCGGGTACCCTGCTCTCCGTCTCTCCCGAGTGTCAGCGCTCCGGGTACCCTGCTCTCCATCTCTCCCGAGTGTCAGCGCTCCAGGTACCCTGCTGTCTCTCCGAGTGTCAGCGCTCCGGGTATCCTGCTTTCTGTCCCTCCCGAGTGTCAGCGCTCCGGGTACCCTGCTCTCCGTCTCTCCCGAGTGTCAGCGCTCCGGGTACCCTGCTCTCTGTCTCTCCCGAGTGTCAGCGCTCCGGGTACCCTGCTCTCTGTCTCTCCCGAGTGTCAGCGCTCCGGGTATCCTGCTCTCCGTCTCTCCCGAGTGTCAGCGTTCCGGGTATCCTGCTCTCTGTCTCTGCCGAGTGTCAGCGCTCCGGGTATCCTGCTCTCCGTCTCTCCCGAGTGTCAGCGTTCCGGGTATCCTGCTCTGTCTCTGCCGAGTGTCAGCGCTCCGGGTATCCTGCTCTCTGTCTCTCCCGAGTGTCAGCGCTCCGGGTACCCTGCTCTCTGTCTCTCCCGAGTGTCAGCGCTCCGGGTATCCAGCTCTCTGTCCCTCCCGAGTGTCAGCGCTCCGGGTACCCTGCTCTCCGTCTCTCCCGAGTGTCAGCGCTCCGGGTATCCAGCTCTCTGTCCCTCCCGAGTGTCAGCGCTCCGGGTATCCAGCTCTCTGTCCCTCCCGAGTGTCAGCTCTCCGGGTATCCTGCTCTCCGTCCTCCCGAGTGTCAGCGCTCCGGGTATCCTGCTCTCCGTCCCTCCCGAGTGTCAGCGTTCCGGGTATCCTGCTCTCCGTCTCTCCGAGTGTCAGCGCTCCGGGTATCCTGCTCTCCGTCTCTCCCGAGTGTCAGCTCTCCGGGTATCCTGCCCTCTGTCCCTCCTGAGTGTCAGCGCTCCGGGTATTCCTGCTCTCTGTCAGCGCTCCGGGTATCCTGCTCTCCGTCTCTCCAGTGTCAGCTCTCCGGATACCTGCTCTCTGTCCCTCCTGAGTGTCAGTACTCTCTGAGTGACTGTTCTCTCCTGTCTGTCCCCCCCCTCATTCCTCCCAGACAATGATCTCAGCACTCACTGCACCTCACTCACCTGCCAGCATCCCAAGCTCACTGCTTGCTGCAGCCCCGCCCCATCAGCTGATTGGTCCCAGGCGGTGATTGGTGGATGAACCAGAGAGTGGTGATGACACGGGAAGCGTCTGGTCAGAGGCAGCACTGTGCATACAGAGTCCTCCTCACGCTGCTGATCCTCGGGGGAGGTGCTGCTCCGTCATCTGATGGTAACTGTAATAAAGGGAACATGGAATGTGACTATCAGGGAGCTCTGACATCCAGCACACCTCCCCGCCACCAACAACCACGTATGGAGAAGGAGGAGGGGGGGAGGAGGAAAGGAAAGGGAGGGGGGGGGGGGGAGGAGGAAGGAAAGGAGGGGGGGGGGGAGGAAAGGAAAGGAAAGGGGAAGGGGGGGGGGAAAGAAAGAGAGGAGGGGGGGGAAGGGGGGGGGGAAAGAAAGGGGGGGGGGAAAAAGAAAGGGGGGAGGAGAAGAAAGAGAGGAGGGGAGAAAGGAGGGGGAGGGGAAGGAAAGAGGGGGGGGAGGACCATCCCCGGGAACAGTCGGTAGGTCCCCCTCCGGTACTCACCGTCCATCCCCCGCTCTTCCTCCTCTTTCCTCATCAAGACTTCCGGGTTCTTGCAGTCGCCGGGCTCCAAAAATCTCGCGAGAGGACACCGTTAGACGGGGGCCGGACCCAGCCGATCACATGACTGGTCCTGCAAGTCACATGTGTGCCCTTAGTTGGGCGGGTTATGGTTGTGGTGGGCGTGTCTTGGGTGAGATATGTGTAGGCGGGGCTGGAAGTTGTGTCTGCCCGGCTGTGTTGCGGAGCTCCATTGATGGCAGTGCGCTCCTCTGTATACACCGCGGGGAGGGGTGATATCTGTGACGCTCCACCCACCAGGAGCGCAGGAGAAGTCGCTGAGGATTACTCACAGCCAAGCGCTGCAGTTTCCCACACAGAGAAATGGGGGTTGTGCTGATGTGAGGGGCACCATGGAAATAATGGGGTCCCCGGACATCTGATACCACGCCACCTGCAGATATGTGGCTCCACACACAGCCAGTTACACCGCAGTGCGCAAATGCACCAATGATGGGACACTATTCCTCCCACTGACACCAATGATGGGGGGGGCACTATTCCTCCCACTGACAGCAATGACGGGGCACTATTCCTCCCACTGACACCAATGACGGGGCACTATTCCTCCCACTGACACCAACGACGGGGCACTATTCCTCCCACTGACACCAACGACGGGGCACTATTCCTCCCACTGACACCAACGACGGGGCACTATTCCTCCCACTGACACCAACGACGGGGCGCTATTCCTCCCACTGACACCAACGACGGGGCGCTATTCCTCCCACTGACACCAACGACGGGGGCGCTATTCCTCCCACTGACACCAACGACGGGGCGCTATTCCTCCCACTGACACCAACGACGGGGCGCTATTCCTCCCACTGACACCAACGACGGGGCGCTATTCCTCCCACTGACACCAACGACGGGGCGCTATTCCTCCCACTGACACCAACGACGGGGCGCTATTCCTCCCACTGACACCAACGACGGGGCGCTATTCCTCCCACTGACACCAACGACGGGGCGCTATTCCTCCCACTGACACCAACGACGGGGCGCTATTCCTCCCAACGACTGACACCAACGACGGGGCGCTATTCCTCCCACTGACACCAACGACGGGGCGCTATTCCTCCCACTGACAACAACGATGGGGCGCTATTCCTCCCACTGACAACGATGATGGGGCGCTATTCCTGCCACTGACACCGATGATGGGGCACTATTCCTCCCACTGATACCGATGATGGGGCACTATTCCATCCACTGACACCAATGATGGGGCACTATTCCTGCCACTGACACCGATGATGGGGCACTATTCCTCCCACTGACACCAATGATGGGACACTATTCCTCCCACTGACACCATGATGGGACACTATTCCTCCCACTGATACCGATGATGGGGCACTATTCCTCCCACTGACACCGATGATGGGGCACTATTCCTCCCACTGACACCAATGATGGGGCACTATTCCTCCCACTGACACCAATGATGGGGCATTATTCCTCCCACTGACACCAATGATGGGGCGCCATTCCCCCCACATTGTATCATTATATACATTCCATTATACATTGTATCTCTCTAACTCCTGGCATAGAGAGAAAAAAAAAGTTTGTTAAAAAAAAAAGATAAATATTAAAAAAGAAAAAATAATGAAAATCCCTAGATGAAGGTTTGATCTGGTACAGTGCCGGGGTTAGTGTTTGGATCTAAAGTCCAAAGGTCAGGATTTCCTAGATTGTAAGCTCCCAGGATCAGGGCCCTCGATCCCCTCATGTATCACATTGTATTGTTCTGTCACATGTTCTGCCCCCCCCCCGTAATGTACAGCGCTGAGCCAACTATGGGGGCTTTATAAATACTCTATAATAATAATAACAACTTGGTGTCAGTGTGTTTTAGGCACTATTTCCGGGCCGTACTCCGGGTACAAAACAACACATAACACACATATATGGTGTCGCTGCGATCGTCAGGAGATGGAGAATTTATTTTGGGTTGTTCTTTGGTGGTCGGTTATGGTCGTAACAAGAAACACAGCTAAATAAAACAAAATGTTGCTTTTTTACTATTTTTGGCCAGTTTTCCTTTGATAATAAAAAAAATCAAGAGATATCCATTATCATTCACCACAAATGAAACCCAATTTGTCCTAAAAATCTCGGTATAATCCGCCCGGATGTACGAAGCAGTGTTGATGATACGGACGGTTTTACTAACACGGGTCAATGTTGCAGAATTGTTTTTAGGCGTTTAGATTTGTTTTCCCCTCAGGCATGACGGGGTTAAGCAGCTGAGAACAGAGGTCAGCCAATCACTTATTTCGAATAAAAAGCAATTTATTATACATACATACACAATGTTTTACCTTTTTCATCTCTGTGTTCATCTGCTCGGGTTGCTTCATA